TTCCGCGCTCCTCTTTCTCTGTCGGTCCTGCAGGCACAGATCTATGTTGGAGCCAACCCGCCAATCCCAAGCCAATTGAGACCTGTGCACTCGCCCTTATTTGCCCCTCGAGCTAACGCATCAATCCGCTAATGCCAGTGTACCGACAACGGGACGATGGAGACTATTATCCGGTGCCGTGGGCTTACCATACATAGGGGAACACCCGGGTGTTTCTGTGGATTCGTGGCTTTGCTGCCAGGTTCTGCATATTTTATTCCTTTTCGATTGGTCCAGGATTCATCCTGAACTCTCACTTTAGCACTAGGAGCACGGCGGGAGAAGGGACAGAAGGGGCAGAAAGGGTAGACGTTTGCTTTTGCTGTACCGATGTCAAGCTTAGGAGGATCGACTTTCCCAATCCGTGTTCGTACTTCTGTTCGTACCTTTATTCGTACTTTTCTTCGTACTTTTCTTCGTACTTTTCTTCGTACTTTTCTTCGTACTTTTCTTCGTACTTTTTTTTCGTGCTTTTGTATCGAACATAATGTTGATTTTGGTTGCCGGGGGGCTAGGCGGGTCATTCGGAATTTTCATTCTTGATATGATTGATATTTCTGTGATAAGCCTGGAGTCTAACTCTTGGATCTTGCCATTTGTTCCTGGGGTCCAGTGTTCTCTAGGTTCGTTTTAGGACAACAAAAATACAATGTGCCAATCTGAAAGAATGTATCAATATCATATGCTTTCCCCGCTGGTATCCTATGGATCAGATCCATTTGCTTTGAGGACTCCGGGACGCCTGCCATACCTCCCCGCCGTGATAACCACAACATGATGCCGTGGGCCAGAGGTGAAGATAGAAAAAAAAAAGATTTCGGTGAAATAGGAACGCTTGTAGTTGGAAATTGTGCGGCAATGTACCCTCCGAGGGCACCAAAGAAAAAAACAAATCAGATCATGTTCATTACTGGTTTGGTGGGCAAGGTCCAGAAGAAGGCCCAGAAGAGTCAGCATCCGAGACTCGGGGCCGTTTTGGGTCGTTTGGACCGGGTGCTGGGACCCCTGCGCCAGGCGTAGCATCGGCATTGGTGACGTCCAGCAATGGAGGCCGTTTTCCATTGAGATTCTGCTGGGGTGGCACACTGGCTCGGTTCACTATGGCTGGGTTGGAAACGTTCCTTTGGTCAATATTGGGGCGGGTCAATGGTCGATACGATGAGACGGAAGGGCCTCTGCTGACCGGACTGCTGATTCCACCGCCAGGAGCACCGACTCTGCGTTGCATATCCATTGCGGGATTGACAAAGTCGCGCGTGTTGTTGTTGTTATTGTTGGGTGGTGCTGGAGAGGCGCTCGACAGCATCGGCCTAGCAATGGGAATGCTTTTGGTATGGTCTACACCAGCCGTCTTGCGGATGGAGGGACTCTCTGCGTGTGGATCGAATTGAGGAGCTGCTGACGGGACGGAGTTTGGATTTTCACGGAGAAGGTCCACTGCTCTGGCCGAGTAGAAACCCGTGGAGGGTGTGCCTTGCGGTGGGTTCATGTCCTGGTTCCCTTGAAAACCCCGGGGCCCGATTTCCCTTTTGATCGGAGGCTGGGCGATGTTGTTTTGGGCCGCATTCTGACCAACTGTTTGCTGTGTTGGGACTGGTGCTCTGGGGTGTGCAACACTTTGAGCGGGACCTTGGCCGGCCATTGGTCGACCTTGTACCGCGGCTGGGGATGGGATACCCGATGGGTTCTGTCGCGTATTTAGGGGATTAGGTCGTCCCACTTGGCCCGAGCCATTCCACCGCTCCGGTTTTGATGGTGTTACGACAGCAGGGTTAAATCCTGCTCGGCCAGGCGGTCCTCGCTGAGGCGCTGGACCATTCGTTGGCACAGGGCGCTGCTGTTCTCGATGGATCTCTGTGTCTATTACGATCTCATCAGGGTTGCCTATATCGGTCTCAGCTACCGCAAAATCGGCTTCGTCAAAGAGGTCACCTAGAGAGACTATTAGTCAAGGTTAAATGTTGCGCTTTCTAACACATACTGCCAAACTCTCCATCCCCCTCGAAAGAAGCATTATTCCCGGGATTATTGCCTCTTGCTTGATGTACAGGACGAGGAAGGGGTAGATCATCCTCTTCCGGTTCACGCTTGGGTGGAGGCAGCTGTTTTTTAGGAGGGGGTGCGAAGTCAGGGTGACGGTGAAGATCTTCAACGTCCCATCTTCCCTATTCTGGTAGTCAGTATGGCATGTGGCAGACTGGAGGACGTCGGGGACCTTACAGGCGCTGCTTTGACTTTGGTCACCTTGGCCACATAATCCTTGTCATAGATACAGTTACCTAGCACGTTGCCGAAGTTTCTCAATGCACGTTTCAAAGCATCTGTTGTGCCTTCTTTCTTGGCCTTCTCGAACGCTGCGGCCTTGCCCTTGCAGTTCTCGATATGCCCGTAGCCAATATCCTAGAAGAGGGCTGGAGTTAATACGACAACCCTCGAAAAAATTCATATCTCGAAGTGATCACTTTACCTCATGGAAGGTTCCATCCCTCAGGGTGACTCTCATAATGACTGAAAGTCCCAGGCTGATTTTGCCCGTGTTTTGATTTTCCTCAACCTGATAAGCGTTAGCCAACCTGTAAGTAGTTGATAAACGTATAACCAACGCACGAAATCAATCTGAATCGTCTGGATCGAGCTGGACCAGCCATTGAATCCAAACACCTCGTTCGCAAGATTGATGCATTTGTCCGCGGAGAGATAGTGCACTTTCTGCCCCGCAGCACCAGGTCGCGCAGAGATGTATTCGGGCCCCAACTTCTTATCAAGACGGGCTTGTAGTGTTGCAATTTCCTGTGCGGTGTATTCGCTGATGCGGCGTTGGGGTTCCTCGAATGGGTTTGCTGTGGCGGCTCCTGTATCGTTCGGCATCCTTATAGATCCCGCACCACCGCGATGTTGGTCACCAACGCTGGGATTATCACTATCAGTGCTCGGTTCCATTGAATATGGAAATTTCCAGGTCCTAGGTATTGGGTCTCACGCTGGCATGTTTCGTTGTGAATGAGTCTTGACTTCAATATGAGAGAAGTAATGACGGCGTGTCGGGCGCGTTGTCTTCAGGCACCGAGACGCGGCTCATCGCGACATCACATGACGATAACGCGATAAGATAAAGATAGGAGCTTCATGAACGAAGTCGATTCAAGTAAACAAAACACATTACTATTTAAGGATACTTGGAGATTAATAGGGATGTGATTCATCACACATGGAAGCTAATTTTCGGGGTGTCACCTCATTTTCTAATTCATCGTAAAAGCTATCTATCCTGGGATAAGGGAGGGTATGGTATCGATCATTGGATAAGAAGACTGGCACTAGGCACAAGTCCTAGTTCCTTCAAAGTCTCTCCGAAGAACTCATTATCAAACACCTTCTTGGGGAAATTCTGCACGAAACTCTGGACCTCAATCCCATCCTGTTCCCTCAATGCGGCAGCAACCTCAAACAACGTTGTGTCAACGGGCAGTGTCTTCATGATGTTACCCTTGGATGACTGGAATCGCAACCGAGTTTCCGTATAGGCGGAGGCAGGTTTAGACGTAGCGGGTCCAGACGAGGTGGGCGCCGGGACGGCAGCGGGCTGGGGAGGAGCCACACCGGCACGCTCAGCTCGCTGCTTCTCTGCCTTCAATCGACGCTCTTCCTTGTCGGCCTCAATCTTTGCCTTGATGCGCTTCTTGGCTTCGATTTCATCCTGCTTCTCCTTCTTCTTCTTGGCTGCCTCCTTCATCTGTTGCTTCCGCTCGAGTTCCTCCTTGGCATCTTGAGTTTCCTTAGTGCTCTTCCTTCGGATTTCCTGATAATAAAAGTCAGCAAAATAACCGCAGTCACTCATTGTCGGGGCCAATACCAGGGATACACACCTCATTCCTCTTCTTGTCAATCTTGTCCTGTTCCGAGAGCCCTGCACGCTTCGCCGCAAGCTTCTCCCGCAGCTCCGCCAGTCTCTGCTTCTTCTGCTCCTCAGTCAATGGAGCAATTTCCTCCGTAGACTCAGCGAAATCAACATGTCCGGACTTAGATGCGTGGAACTCGGCCTGCGACTGGCCTCGGAACTTCTTGCCACACTCGTTGCATACTAAGCTGCGCGGTTGTTCGCCTGGTTGGAGTGCGGGGCCCTCTTCGCCCTGCGCCTCTTGAGCTTGTGCCTTTATCTCCTCCAACGACTTGTCCTGGTTGTCCTCGAGCCACTGCAGTGCACCTTGCACTATCCAGTTAGTCAGAGGATAGCTCAATGGGATATCAGGGGAAATGGCAGGGACTTACAGCCACCAGTCTTCGTCACTGCGAGCTGGGCGCGCTCGTTGTCGAAGCCCATCTCAATGAGCTGGTCTAGGTCCGATGCCATGATGACCGTTGGGACGTGAAAAAAAAAAGAAAAAGAAAAAGAAAATAAAACCGTAGGGAGACTCAAAAAACTAGTGATTGTCAAGATTGAATCAAGGTCGTTCAAAAGTGAGTTAAGTCGCGAGAACAGAGTGGGTGACGTATCAGAAAGGCGGCGAGCGACGGCGAGCGATAAGGCCCACTTCCCTTCCCCGGGTTTCTATGGCGTTAAGTTCTTCTCGATGGCGCATCTGAGGGATACTTCAATATTTATAGACCATTGAAAGGACGATATTGTCAATTGCATTTCTCTATATTGTATTTGAGGAAGGACTACAGTTATATAGTCCACTACAGATGTCTCTGCTAAGACATGTGTTATGAGATTAGGTACGTACCTGCATTGCAGCTATCCGAAAGTCTACTATGTTTAAGCCCCAATCTACTACGATACAACAACAAGTGGGATGACTTCCATTAACGTGCACTGTTAAATCCAGCATAACTTAATGCGGCCGAGGGATATGGTCGCATACCTCAAGGCCATAGCTCCATGCGTTTCACCCATGGAAATAAAGCATGTAGTGGCTTCCTCCGGGCATAAATTGCCAGAAACTGCTCTACGAGCAGCCGATATAACATGCAATAGTTACTTAGTTTGGTATACTAGGTAGACTTTGAACACAAGTGGGATGATTGACCCCACCGCAGGAATCACATGCAGGTGGAGGTAGATGTTTATCCGAGGATGGGACAGCATGCCGGGGAAGACTACTGAGGCATGCGAACAAGATACACAGTCTCATAGCCAAGATCCCAATAGAATAAACAAAAATGAAGGCAAATGTTCCAGTCTACGATGTATAGCTTGCCAATAGTGACATCACCTGACTGGTTGCTGACTCAGCCAATTTCTCCGAAAGTGCCCAGGTGGACAGTAATCAAACTCCTGAGGCATGGCATCGGCTTAGACCTGATAACCCTCCCACACCTTTATTTCTCAATCAAAACCTAATCGCGTGCCGTCATCTGTGCTCTTGTCATCTTTGTTCCCTTCTCCCACCTCTTTCACTCTGACCACGTGCACCATGACTATCCAAATCGAGCCCTCCGAGTTGGGCTTCAAGCGTGAGTGCCATATCCCGAACCTGTCTTGAGACCTGCCTAGATCAACAGCTCATCTCTTTATGATAGGTCCCTTCAATCATGAAGTATGCCAGGTTCTCCACCTGAGCAACCCGAACGAGGAATCCGTGGTCTTCAAGGTATGTGTGACACCACCCTCGGTCTTTGTCGCGGGACAAGCAGTACTAACATATGTCCTCGTCGCACTAGGTCAAAACCACCGCTCCTAAGCAGTATGTCCCGACAATTCTCTGCGCAATGTATATACTCGAGATTTTTTATCTGACTATATTCCAGTTACTGTGTGCGACCTAACTCCGGTCACATCGAGCCGGGCAAGACTGTCGAAGTCCAAGGTTAGTTGATAAGGGAGTACGCTTGAATAACGGCGAGCTGAATTTTCTCAATAGTGTTGCTGCAGGCTATGAAGGAGGACCCTGCTCCGGATGCCAAGTGCAAGGATAAGTTCCTGGTCCAGGCTGTCCCGGTCTCCCGTGGCTTGGAGGATGCCAGCGTTAGCCAGATTGTATGTCCAGACTGCGGGATCGAGAACATCAAGACCAATAACTAATAGCTACGTTTAGTTCGACCAAACACCCAAGGCCGATGTGGTTGAGCGCAAAATCCGAGTTGTCTACCTGGCAACAGATGCCGCTCCAGCCAACGACTCGGTATGCTACTCAGCAATCATTTCTCCATACACATGATCTAACTTGCACCAGGCGCATGACGAGGAACCTCCAGCGTACACTTCTCCTGGCGGCGCAAACTTCCAGACCCCGGCCCCCAAGAAGGTCGCCTCGGATGAACCGTCCCCAATCCCTGCTCCCGATTTCTCTGAGAAAAAGTCCCAGTCTCCTCAGCGCGAGCCGGCATCTGCCATTTCAAATGCCAAGTCTGCCGTCGCCAATTCTCTTCCCTCAACCGACGAACTCAAGTCCCAGCTGTCCGAAGCCAATGCACAGATCCAGCGACTGAAGGATCGACTCGCAGACCAAGGACTACGACAGCGGAAGACCGGCGGAGAGGCTAGCGGCAAGGCTGTGCCTGCCACTATGCAGCAGTCACATGGGCCAACTGCCGGTGGAGTTTCGATCCAGATTGTAGCATGCCTGTGCCTGCTCAGTTTCTTGATCGCGTACTTCTTCTTCTAAGCTGGTCTTCTGTTTGTCGCTTTCTCACGGTCTATCCAACTTCATTGCGCCTACTCTACGTGTGCTCAATTCCACTGGTCTAACGTCGCTGACGCCTCTCCCAAATTCCCATCTAGTTTTGTCTCTTGAAGAGCATGCCGTTTTCTGCGTGTTCTAGCATCAGCCTTTTTCTGCGTTTGCTTTGAATTTTTCGCCCCAGTATCAATACTCTACTATCATGTTGTCTCTCTGCACGTCCGAACTTCCCTTGAGGCCAGACGTCTGTCTGTCTCATCTTCTTTGTTGTTGATTTCCTTTGTTTCTTTACCCTTCCTGTCTTGTCTAATATCATTTTATGATGAACTGACCCAGCCCTCTCGATTCATTTCTCTTTGTTTCATAAACCTATTCTCGAGCTCGGGATAATTCATGTGATTGATACTAGAGCGAAGTCCATGTCGTCGTACATAGCTGGGGACTTCGTCTCCCTTCGGTAATTGGTTGACTGCAGACATTCAATCCTGTCTTTGCGCCTTAAATTGTCTTGTAGACACAGGGACTAGACAGAATTTTAATCGAGCGTAGATCTACCGAGATAAATGCTCCGTGCTCCCTACGTGCTCCCTACGCGCACAGGTGAAGCCTCATAAAAACCGCACAATGACAGCCCAATCCTATTGAAAACAGATATATCTAACAAGGCACCAGTACTCCACCCAGTAATTTATGTAATCAAACAGTTGCAAATTCAATACCAGTCGTTATACTTCAAAGGCAGAAGAAGATCTAACATTGAATCTCACTCTCCTTCCATCCATCACCCTCCTCGCCCGCCGGACCCGCCGACGCAGCCGAGATGCCCTCACCGCCACGCCCATTCCACTGCTTAGACGCAGCAGAATCACCACCGCGCTTCGTCCCACCACCAACAATCCGGCCACCCTGTTCGCGCTTCACACGACACCACGGACCAACATCCTTATCCAAGATGAAAGTGTAAATAACCCAAACCCAGCTCCGGTGGCAAGGCAGCGGCTCATAGAACTCGCGCGCAATCTCATGCAGCTTATGCAACCTGGTCCAGGGGATAGCAGGGAAATCGTGGTGCTCGTTATGTAAGCCGACATTGTAAGTGAGGATATTGAGCGGACCGTAGTACGAGTATGTCTCCGGGGGAGGCAGGGAGTCAAGCGGGTGTGGGACCTTGGACTTCTCATTCTTTTTCAATTCCGCCAGGGACTCTGTGCCGCCGCTCTTCACGTTCGAGAAGAAGTAGTGCTCTGCGATGAAGTGGCCTGCGCAGGGGTGCAGGGATCCGGCAAGAAATGAGCTCAGCAGGAAGTACAGTACTGGTTGCATGGTGCCGCATAGTTTGCTAAGGGCGTAGTCGAAGCTTATTTGGACGCCAAGGTTCAGGAGGTGGATGTAGGTGAAGGGTGGGCTGTAGATGAACATTGGGCGCACGGCGTAGAAGAGGATTTGGAAAGTGCAGAAGAATGTTTTGCCCAGGAGGGAGTTTAGGAAGAAGGCTTCCACTGCTGTAGGCAGATCGGTGTCGAGGCCTGTTACGCCGAGGGATTTGTGGTGCGTCAGGTGGTAGGGCTGTTGGTCTTTGTCAGTTCATGGCTTCTCTAGGGATCCTGCTAGTTCCTGGCGTGCGGAAGAGTATACATACTCTGAATGCAGCGCTGTACGGCAGTCCGATAGGGAGGTTTGCGAAGATGGCAAGCAATCGGTTGGCGAAAGCGGACCGGAAGGCCAGGTTGTGTGAGATCTCATGAATAGCGAGGAACAGATTCTGGTTGCAAGTCGCACCGATCACGTATGCTGTGGCCAGGAAACGCCAATTGAGCATTGAGGTGTTGCGGAGGAGGTAGGCACAGGTGATTTGTAGGGACACGACACCGAGGACAACCCATTTAGTAAGAGGCTCGGGGCCACATAGTTTGGTGACCTATAGAGACATAATATCATGAATCAGCATTGCAATTGTATTTGTTAAGGCTGTCCGTCGCCCAGGAAAGTGGACAGGTGTGTCCGCGAACTCCGCAAAAACTCCGCATGGAGTCTTCGCCGAACCCCCGTACCACCATGAGGGCCCGCTAAACAGGGTCACATACCTCCGGATGGGCCTTGATAATTGCCTGTCGTCTCGAGCGATGCGGCTCTTCGGTGTATGTCCAGAAGAAATGGTCGTCGACCAAAGCCTCCGGTGCCTGGATTTTGGTGGACTCTGGTTGCGTTTTGTCGGATGTTTTGGCTGCCGATACCCGGAGGTGCGGCGAACTTGTTTCGATGACCGCAGACATGATGCGAAATTGGTATGTGTCGAAGTTTAGGCCATGAGAGATAGGAGAGGCTTTAAAAGGTCGGAAGACTGAAGACTGTTGTTCCACGTGGGGCGACACGGCATCTTTGATGGCTTGAGGCTTGGCAGGATCGGCATTTTGATGTCAAGGGCTTTGGTGACTCTCCAATCTATTTAAGACATTACTAATGGGATGGATCTTGGAAAGATGACATGCTTTTAGTATTTACGTATGTCTATGAAATACATCAGTAGTCGTCGCCACGACTAATAACCTCCTTCACATTCGGGCGCAACACAATTGTCTAGGAAAACAAGTCAGTAAACATTCCAAAAGAAAATCCCAAAATACAAACATACATGTTCATATTGGGCAGTGTATGAGCCCTTGATATCGCAAAGAGGAGGGTAATCCTGGACAATTCCAGAAGAAACCAAGTTGTTCAACTACATTCGTCAGCTTCAGTGTCTCACATGAACTTCATCGTCAACTTACGCCCAAAAGGTACTTGTCCTGACCTAGGCGGTCAATATACCGGCGACAGAAGGGAAGTGTGCCAAAGTTCTTGTTGATCAAATTCAACAAGTTCTTGGCAGAGGAAAGACGCAGGGGAACGTTAGGAGCGTCCGCGGCGAGAGCGTAGTGCGAGGTTTCCATCTGGGGTCATATTAGCTTTGGTCCTCGGCCCAGAAACTACAGTATAGACTTACTTCCTCTCGCACGTAGCCTTTACCAGTACTACCGAAAGTCTCAATAGCAAAAACTTCACCCTCTTCCATCTTGGTCTGATCGGTGCTCTTGACGATAGGCACACTCTTGCCGCCGTGGATGACGTGCTGATCAATGTTGTGACCGTTCAAGTTACGGATACACTTGACGGGGTGCATTGTGCCATTGAGCTCAACTTCGTAACTCTCCATAGCTTCCTGAATGGCGGCACCGATATCACTCATACGGACGTCAATTCCCGCTTCCTAAAAACCCGTTAGCTCTGCTTGAAAGAAATAAAACTTAAAGGCAACTTACCCGGATACCGGTGTTGGTGGCGTCCTTAACGGCGGCAAGAAGAGGATCGTACACTGGGTCAAAAGTCATGGTGAAAGCACTGTCTACAATGCGGCCGTTAAGATGCGCACCGAAGTCAACTTTCATCACGTCTCCCTCGTTCAGGACCATCTTGTTGCCGGCGTTCGGAGTATAATGCGCAGCGCAGTGGTTGATGCTCAAACCGCAAGGGAAGCCCATGCCGCCCTTGATGTTATCACCTTCCTCCAGACCCGAGTGACCTGTCAGAGCGCGCACTGAATCCTCAATACCCTCCGCGATCTCAGTCAAAGTCTGGCCGGGTTTGATGTTTTTCTGCGCATACTGGCGGACTTGACGGTGGACCTCGGCACCCTGGCGGTACTCCTGCAGGAAGTCATTGTTCATGCGATCGAGGTATCGTTTCTCTTCGTTGGTGGTACGGTAAGCATTGTCGTTTAGGTATTCGACGATCTCGCCATCGGGGTACTGGCCGTTGGGGAAGAGGTTAGATACAGGCACGCGCGGTGGCTCGCTCTGAACCTTGGCACCACCCTTCTTCTTGCTCTTCTTCTTGGGCTTCTTCTTCTTCTTCTTTTTGTCGGCTAGAGTTGACCCCGCTGTTAGTTCAGTCCGGTCGATTTCTGTGGGGTGGGGCGGGGTTCTGGAGGCGCGGTCACGGGAAAGAAACCTCAACGAAGCTTACCTCCAGCAGCTCCAGCCTCTGCGGCACCCTCGCCGTCTTGGGCATCGTCCGAGTCCTCCTCCGCTTCAGCGGGAACCTGGTCTGCCGTGGGGGCGGCTTGGACGTTCACTGGTATTTGATCAGTCACACATGGGAGAATCAATCGGAAAATCTGGGTATCTTACGGTCCAGCTGATCCAACTTCTCTGTAGTCTGAGCTGCCATATTGAAGGTGGCAATTAAACAAGTATGTTCAAATGCAAAAGAGGGGAATGTCGGATGTCGGGGAAAGATTTTTGCTGATAAGATAAGGCGATATTTCTTGGAGAATTGTTTGGCTGACTACAGGCCAGCCCACCAGGGCCACCTGAGCTCACCTCACCGGTGGCCCACTTCTCATAACATGATCTCTGCCGGCACGGGGGTCGACTCTCGAGAGCCCACAAACCATTAATTTCACTGTTTTGACCTTTACCATCCATCCCCTCCTTGGAAGGAATTCAATACTACTACTTCAACAACAATGAGCGCTACCACCCCTCCTTATAGAGAGTTAATAAATGATCTGATCTCCTTTGACCCTATTACTCTTGATGAGGAAATCGATCTCTCACCAGAGCTAGTATCTCAAACTGATCAAAATATCATACATGATCGAAATGCAGCTGTTCCCATTGATTTGCCCAAGGTAACTAGTTCTAAACTAGTTTTGAATCAAGTACTAATTCTATGCATTAGGCTCCACCGATGCCAATACCTCTCACGCAAGGCTCTAGTAGTCTGTCTGCTGTCTCGTTTAGTCATGTGGAATACCAGCCTGAGTATCCTACCTCCCATGAGCTAGGGCATGCTACTGTTATCAATTTGAGACATATTCAAGGTCTCAGTCGAGAGAAAGTGGTGAAAATGATAGGAGAAGTAAGTATCAAACAGTTAAAACTAGTTTAAAACTAATACATTGTTTAGTTCCAATACTCTGCTACAACATTCGGTTCAACTACAACGGTCTTCAATACATTCCTAAACTGCCAAACGGAGAAAAAGATGTATCATTGCACTGGTGTTAAAGTATGCGAGTTTCTTGACCCCGAAATCATAGACCTACATCACTATAAGGCAGATATACCATTATTTGTCAAAATGGAAGATAAAAGGAAAGAGTTGCTTGCGCAGGAAGTCGATTCACAACCACGACGACAGAGTCTATGGTAAGTGAACTTCTATAAAGCTAATTTATAACTAATTCCATAACTAATTCTATACTAGTTTATATACCTCGACCTATCGCAAATTCCAAGAAAGGAAGGCGTGTGCTAATCCCCAAGACTCATGCTCTTTAGTCTTGGCGGGTCTACGACACACCAGTATGTTCTTGTTCGATATTAGATACTAAACTAGTAATTGACTAGTTTAGGATATCGCGGGCATTTATGCACCATACCTCTCATGCTCAAACCAGAGCTTTGCATCAGAAGGCCATTTCTTTTTCAATCTGATGTCTAGAGCACGATCTCTTGATCTCCAATTTCCCGAGGACTTAGTTAATCAAGTGCCACACACACAAACTGAGTCTTGCGCAGCTATGGAGCAATGCGTATCACGTCGTCAGAAATGCAGTAAGTGGTCTTAAACTAACTAGCTTAGAGCTAGTTCCTAACTAGTTCTAGTGGTCGCACATCCGCAGGGGATTGGAAGACTTCAAAAGATAGGATGCCGTGTGTATTTCTGCACTTTCATCCCTCTTAATATTGAAGCACATCCATATGCGATCTTCTATTCTAGGGGAAAGCATACACATCCTCCTCCACCACCTAATAAGCCACCACAGCTTATTCTTGATGAAGTGATCACCCTTATCAAAGAGATGCAGGGTCCGAATCTTACAAGTGAATAACCAGTTCTAAACTAGTCTAAGTATATACTAATCTATAACTAATTTAGGCATCTTCCTAAGGAGCCCTGGTCTTAAGGAGTTCCTTCGGGCAAATAGATGGAAATCTATTAGTGAGATACACACTAGTTTTGCGAATTTCGATCGGTTCTCTGCAATCATCGCAAAGCAGCGAGCTTTATCGTTCCCGGAAGGGAGAGATTTCAATAGTGTTGCTTTTGAATATGAGAATAAACCAGGGTTCCAGGTAAACTACCTTTAAACTAGTTTTATACTAGTGACTAACTACTATTAGGATTACACCCGTCGAATCTATACGGATGAGAGCTTTGGCACAATCATTATCTGTGGTTTTGATGCCCAGATCCGTATCTTTGGCGAATTACGCTCTTTCCAGGTCGATATGTCATATAAACGGGTGAAAGGTGAATTTAACGAGGTCATTTTCGCAACGTTCTTACCTACCCATGGGAAAAGTAAGAAATAAATAAATTTGGTCTAGTCCTTTACTAATACTATCCTAGTTCTCACTCTCCTCCGTGTATTTATGAATCACGAGAGCCCAATCGCATACAAAATGCTATTTACCTACGTTTTTAAGCTTATAGAAGATGTGTTAGGAACACCTACACGATTCTATTATCTCCATAATACTGGGTTTGAAGCAATTGTTGTTGATATGGACTATAAGCAGATGAAAGGTACGTTAAAAATTAACTAATACTAAACTAGTTCTATATTAATTCGATACTAATTTAGGGCTTGGCTTGTACCTTCAAGAGCAAGGCTTTTATGAGCGTGACTGGAGATGGCATTGTAGAAATATTATCATTTTCTGTCGTGTTCATTTTACAAGAACAGTTTCAAAACTTATCCCTACTCAAGAGGGTGAAAGATTTCAGTCTGCTCGAACGAGAATGCTTAGTCTTCTAAATTGTATAACAGAAGATGACTATTTTCAGCTAATCCAGTTGATTATCGGTAAGTGAGAACTAGTTCTAAACTAGTTATATATACTATATATTAACTACTAATTAGATTATGAGCCTCAGCTCCGGGAATGGGCAGTCCACAAAAGGCACCCTATTATTGCGTCAGGGCTTTGTAAGGCTTGTTCTCTTATAAAGCCCGAATTCTTTGAGAGGGTTCGTACATCGATGAATGCAGTGGAACAGAGCCATTATAAGTCCTATTGGATGGGGACTTATACGTCGCTACTAGGGGCGATTCATGGGTAAGTCTAAACTAGTCCTATACTAGTTTTAAACTAATATTTTCTTTAGCTCTCGTCTTATTGATGAACGTGATTGCGAACAATATGCCGCGCGGGTTGGTTTTGGTATTAATAACAAATACCGATCTACTGGCGTCGCAACACGTTATTATAACCATTTAAGCTGCGAGAGTAAGTTAGAGAACTAGTTTAGAACTAGTTTAAGACTACTGACTATATCAATAGCTACGCGAACTAGCCGGAAACGAAGGAGGGAGAGCATGCAAGTGGATGATACAGATGATGAGGTTCTTCTCGAGTCGAATTCATTAGGGCATATTATTCCTCCTCATACACCCTCTTGTGGTAGGGGAAGAAGCTCAAGATCGCAAAGTAGAGCTTCGAGTTCGTCGACTACGCCAAGATCAACCCCGTCCCGCAATCTATCGTGAGTTTAGAACTAGTTCTAGTTTCTACTATTACTAACTTTCCTTTCTAAGGGTCCTTCGACGTGCTGCTAGTACAAATCATCATACGCAGGCTAACCCTATTACCCATCGGGAAGGCATCAGTCTTACTGAACAGGAACGACGGTATAGGGCTGAAACGGATCGTATAGAGTTGGAGAATTTGCAATTGCGTCTAAAGCTTCAGCGTGGAGGGATATAGCTAGTTTCTAGTTTAGTTTTAAATAATCAAATAAGAAAAGCTAGTTTTAAACTACCTGTAATTCAGTTAGGTATAATATATAACTATATGATTATCACTAGTGGCAGACATATATAGATATATACTATAAAGAATTACGATATCTACGAAGAGAGGTTTTTGACTACACGCTATTGATTCCATCTGTCTCATTAATCGTCGTAAATTAATCAAGTGTTTCTTTTTCCATTTTTTTTTTTACAAGTAGGATTCTCAAAACTAGCCCTTTTGTCATAGGAGGTAGGTAGGATCGTAGGTAGGATACTAGCTTCAAACTAGTTCTCCCCTTTTTTCTCTTCCTCATTCTCCTCTTCGTCATCAGTGAAGTAATCAAAGTAATCACAGGTAGAACGACGGGATTCATGACAGCAGGCTAGGAGAAGAATCAGTTTAATTAGTCTTGAATAAATAAGGGAAACTTACTACGAGTGGCGTTATCAGCCTTGCAGGAGGCACATGAACCGGAGTGACCCATTTCGCGAAGTCGCTCACGCATCTGTGTCATGTTCACCTATAGATATGTAAGTTAGACTAGAACTAGTTACGAACTAGTTTAGAAGGAAACTCATAGTGCTATCGCGTTTTAAAGGGAGGGTGGGTCGGTGTTCAATATCGCCAGCATGTTGTTGCTCGTAACGAATATGCAGCGGTTCATAGAGATCATCTAAACTAGTTAATAATTAATTCAAGCAGATATATCATCTCATCTTACCGATAGCCTCACGGAGTAAAGCCTGGGAGGGGCGACCCCCAGTACTCCGGACCATAATATCTCCTATGCCCATATGCTTCTGATTGATGTGGTGCTTCAATTTGTTCGTAGTCTCAAATGAAGTCTAAAAGAAAGATGGAAGGTTAAAACTAGGTCTTCACTACGTAAGATTTCTTAGAACTTACTCCATGCACACAACCAGGAAAGCGACAAAAGACTTCTCCAGGGTAGATAACCCACTCACTTTGAGCCTAGGAACGTAACTAGAACTAGTTTAAAACTAGTAAATATAAGGGCTTTCAACTCACATTGCGTGTCATTGGGGTCCACACGCCATCAAGGGTGAGTTTTGTTTGGGTGAGATACCACTTATAAGCGGGCTAGCAAGTCGTAAAACCATTAGTTATCATCCAATTTTCATCAAAAAGACATCATTTTTCATCTCATTCACCAAGATCTCATCACTTACATAGCTCCTGAGGGTGGACATGGTGAAAGAACCGGCAGTATGAATGCGGGAAGTAATTTAAATGTAATTAGGAACTAGTAAGGAAGGCGGTAAATTAAAGAGAATGTATGGTAATTTATAGCTAGGAGCTCAGCTCATCGCTGGGGGCAAATAAAGGAAGTGTCACGTGATCTGATGACTCACCAGTGTGCTGACCTGCCATCTGATTGCTTGGCAGCGGAATGTTACTAGGCCTATTCTTGCACGGACTACGATAAGTTGCCCTCATGATGACAACCTTGGAGTTTATACGTGGGTCATTCTGTAGACTTCCTGCAATGTCTACTCTCGTAGAAGACAGAACTTACTCCACATCTCCCGTTCACGTTGTCGACTGTTAACCATGTCGCTACTTAAACTCCCCGTTGAGCTGCTACTACAGGTATCTTCGTATCTAGAATTTGTTTTCGATCTCGGCTCCCTATATCAACGTCATTCTCTTCTGCATACGTTGTTAAAAGATAGAGTCGATGAATTGCTCAAGATGGAGCAGTCTCTGCAACCTCTGGCGTGGGCTGCATCGAATGGGAAGGAAAGATGTGTTCGCAAGCTGCTAGACGCAGGTGCGTTGTTTGAAGACTCGGGCGACTGGACCACACAGTGGGATGATCCTATGACAATATCTGCAGAGCATGGTCATGTTGATATTGTCCGAATGTTCCTCGATCATGGAAGAGACCCGACTCCAGCGATCAAAGAGGAGAACAGCCGGTTTTTCGCCTTTGATTTTAATCACCTTGCTTTCTTTGGAACCCCCTTTTTCGCCGCAGTGCTAGAGGGTCATACCTCAGTTGTGAGCTTCTTAATTGAACGTGGATCTATCAAACGCTGCATGGAAACCGAGGAGAAAAGAGAGTGGTGCGACTTATCATTATGCTTCGCGGTTAGGAGAGGCATATTCCTATCATCGAACTTCTGCTTGAATGAGGTTGTGATCCTAATATTGCGTGTCTTGGCAAGACCCCTTTGCATTATGTTGCCCCAGCTCCTGCTACAAGCACGACTATGGAAATCGTCCGTCTTTTAGTTGATGCTGGAGCTGAACCCACGTCAGTCAGCTTGGACCAATCACCATTCTCACTTGCCTTGGAAACCGGCAATGAGCCGTTCGTCAATTACGTCTTCGAACAACATGTTTTTGATACCGAAGTTATTCTATGGTTGAAATAGCCGGACAGCATAATAGATTAGCGCCTTCTTTCCTAAAGAAGATTGATTTAGACCACGCAATCAATTTTGGTAGTGCACGATCCAAGCTTCTGTGTGGCGCTGTAGCTGGCGGCTTCGAACATTTGCTGGAGAGACTATTATCAGCGAGGACGTCTGTCCTTAAGAACTGGACTTGTGACTGTGGCCATAGAGATATCATGGGTCTCGCTGTCGCATCAGGAAATATCGGAATAATAGGGTTGTTGCTCCATCACGGCGAATCTCTTTATCACGCCGTGACTTATCACAAAGACGCCCTGGGATATTGGGATCCCAATGATTGCCCCCCTTCAATGATCCTGCGCTTGACCGAGGCCATGATGATGTCGTAAAGTGCCTTATCAATAATGGCTTTGATGTTGTATTTGTGTCAGATCATGGGAATGATCGTTTTAACAGAGCACTCTATCTGGGCAAAGTGGAAATCCTGGAAATGCTTTTTGAGACTTCTGCTCCATCAATTGAAGATATTGTGTTGTCACATGACGGCCTGTCGATCCAGCTGGCAGTATTGGGAGGAGAAGCCGTCCTCAGATTACTCCTCGAGCGTGGAGTACAACTACAGCCAAGTTACGTTGGACATTCCCGCGCATTGGCATGTGCTGCTATGCTAGCTAATGTGCCTATCTTGAATATGTCCTTAGATGCGGGCTTTAGTCTAGATGTACCGGGCGCACTCGGATTGCCATCCAAACTTGATGAAATTAGAGGTGGCACACTCCTCGCTCTCGCAGCTCAGGCTAAAGATCGAGATGCTGCTCAAGCTGCGGTTAATCTTTTACTAGAACGTGGGGCACAGCCCAACCAGCCAGTCAGCGCTCGCAATTACACTCCTTTGGTCTGCACGGTCTCTGGAGAAGCTGGAGATAATGTTAGGACTACTAAATTTTCATCGAGAAAATAACCAAGAGCAACGCGGACGAAGACCAGTATGAGCGACTACATAGATTATATTCCGATACTATTGACTGCGATGTACTTGCAACGAAGCTTCTATTAGAGAAAGGGGCCGATCCTCTCTTTTTCAACAGATGTGGGGGGTCTGCCCTGGCCGTGGCCGCATGGAAAAATGATATCGGAGCGGTCAAGATGCTGCTGGGATATGTTGATCAAGACGTTCCGATCACTACAATCAAGTCTCATATAGTGGCAGCGGTGGCCCCTTCTGACGCTTATCATGCCATTCTTGGGGGGTGGCCGGGAGAACCTTCTTTGGCCATACAAAAGACGCTTTGGAATTATTATTGGCGCGGAGGTTTACCCTCCTAGCGAATAGTGATTTGAGTGCCTAGGTATCTATCGGCTTGTTATCAGAAGATTTTGTCCAAGCCTTCTTTGATATTATCAAATATGTCCTAAGGGCATAAATCCCAAATTAGCTAGTAAGCCAAACTATGAGGCAGATGTACGATGAAAAGTAAGAATCCTATAGCCTTAAGTGTATATGAAATCTAAACAGATCTGTCAATCTCCATATCGCATGGATAACTATATGTCTTCATTAACAGGCCACCCTTTGCACTCGAGCCATACGAAGCTTCAGCAATTGACGGTATTCAGACGACCCATGACACTTTTCCGGATCAAATGTCGCTCCTTTGTCAAATAGCAGTCTTGCCATTGCGTCCTTTCCTTTTTCAAGAGCAAATTGTACCGGTGGACAGTCATCGTCGCCACTAGGGTCAGCGCCGTGTTCGAGTAAGAGCTTGACGGCCCTAGGCCGGCCATAGCAGACAGCCAAACTCAACGGACAGAAATGGATTGCCTTTCGCTCTGCTTGATGGTCTTTATTAAGGACAGGCCACTCATCGAGTATCTTCTCTAGCAGATCGTCAAGACGGTTGGTAATCGCTCCCCTCAAAAGATAGCAGCGTTGAACGTTACTAAAATTCAGTATGCGATCCACATCAATCCAACTCAGCAGTAATGCCCCCATCTCGTGGTTCTTCGGTTTCGGTCGAGAGAATTCACATAAGACATCAAACCATCCTAATCGCCGCCAATTGAGGTTGTTTGCTAGAAAGAGCTTCATGACGGGGAGGTTGTCAGATTTCGCCGCTCTGAGTAACAGTTGGTGATCTATATGCAAATCTGCGCCAGCCTCTACCAAGAGTTCGGCAATTTCCAGATTTGTAGGTGATGCTTTTGCTGTAGCAGCTAGGGCTAGGGGCGTCATTCCATACATGTCATATGTATCAAGTTTGCAGTAATTGTGTTCGAGGAAAAGCCTCACAATTAATACATGTTCCATTTCGACTGCCTTGCATAAAGGGATCGCAGCATGTCTGTCCTGGCTGTTGGTATTGAAATTGGCCTTATGTTCGAGGAGCAGTTTGACCACCTCAATGTGCTCTTCCGGAATTGCCTCAGTAAGCGCTCTTTTGAATAGATCTCCTTCTTTTTCGGTGGCGTGTTGAATGCAATGGGGCAGGAATAATTCGACAAGGCGGGTGTGTCCATTCGATGCGGCGATCACTATTGGTTCTCGCCCTTCAAAGACAAGGTCGTCCAATATCTTTGAGCCGCACATCTGCAACAGTTTCCGCGCACTAGTTTCCTTCCCTTTTTCGGCTGCCCATGCTATCGCTTTCCCAGGTGAGTCTTTAGCGATAGTTCTGTAAAGAACCCTGTTTGACAAGGCATAGAAGTGACGGCTGACCCGTGTGAATGCATTGAGCCCAGTATAGTCAAGGTGGAGGGAAACCTCCAGTAGGATCTCGTTAGGAATTTCTGGGAGCATCGTCATATTTCGACGTAGTTCAATTGTTCAGAAAGGGATGAGTGGTTCGGGGGAAAGAAGAATGGACCAAACCAGGCTGTCGCTTTGGGTTGAGCTGTTTGATTCTAATACCTGGCGGTTACTTAGATTGCAACTTTTTATGTGATGGGGCATGAGGGGATTTATACAGACTCTCTGGGAATCTGCTTTGTGTCGTGTTTTATATATGTATGTTGAACAAAGCCAGTGTTTCAAGTCAGCGCCTTGTCCTTCGCGTGTAGCTCTTTGATTCGGAAATCCCATTTAGTCTCAAAGGGTATAAAAATAACACTATGCATTGAAAAAGAAGTGCGTTTCATTGTCTGATCATGGATACTAGCGAACTCAAAGGCATACACGCAGGCACAGAGCCTCCAGCTATTCCATACTTTAAGCCGCCAAAGGGAGCTTTAACTCCATCTTCAAATGTCTCATCCACTTAAAAATGACATCAACAGTCGGTTGAAAGGTGGGATTGCGATTGTTTTAAGCGCTCAAGACATTCCTTTTTGCGCAATCGGTTTTAAGAGTAAAGTAAGCGAGCAACTGCCCTCGGTGAAAATGCGGTTTCATCAACAGAAATGTCAATTTACTGACTGTTTCAGGACTGAGGTTCTTGACGTACTGGGGGTCTCTCAAACAGCGCCGTAAGCGCCGTTGGGAATCTGACGGGAATCCGAGACATAAGGGTAAGCAAAATGCGGAGGCGCTAATTATTGATTTGAAAAGACGCCCCGGCATGTGTGCAACACGACTGGTCTATGCTGTCGGATTACGCCATACATCCATGGATCTGTTGACTTCAGCACGACTCCTAAGCGCTCAAGGTATACTTCCAATGCCCTTGACATCAACATTCTCAGCACTAGGCCATCGATGGCACAGCAAGCCAAGACTAAGTCTCCTTTATATCAAACCCACTTCCACAATGCTAATATACCCTATTTCTGAGGTATCGACCATGATTGGTTGTCCCCTGACCTCCAAGAGCCAATGCCGTAGTATACCCTCCTTTACCAATGATCCCACCAATTGTAATGAGACGTGCATCACCTAGTCTAAGGTCATAAGAGCACCCGCAAGCTCTGGAACGAAAGAAACTATAATCTCACAATATGTGGATCCTTTGGTATCCCAAGCTGGGGAAGGAGTGTTCTCATTGGGTCGAACAGTATAACCTGGGATCTCTTATCTAATCTGATCATCAGCCCGGACTGGATCTATGAGAATTGTAACTGCCCACGTGCCTGAGCGAAAGTTGTATTAAATGAGTCATTTCGAGAGGTAGAAGAGGTCAAATAGAGTGATAGCATGCTTCAGATTGTCGATAGCCCGTAATAAATACGTGGTGACTTGTAGAGTCGATCAACGTCCAACCGCAGTGACGCCACTCCGAACTTGACCTCCGATCTTCTTCCGTTTCTCCCTCTCTACCTCTTCCACCCCTCCCCCACCTCCTGGTTCTTAGATTTTTATTTATTTCGATGTCACATTCTATAAACAGACAACAATGCCTCCATCTCGAATAACAGCAATTCTTCTCCTTCCGCGTGCGACCCTCTCTCCCTTCCCTTCAACGTACCGCAGCATCTCAACCCAACGCCTCCGGCCACAATTACCCCCATGCCAGCAACCACAGCAATCCTCGAGGCCAACTATATCCTTCTTCTCAACCAGCAACCCAGGCCGAGCTCGCGAACCAAACTTCTACGAAATCCTCGACGTCCCTACAACCGCATCAGCAGCAGAGATCAAGAAGTCCGCCCACCCACACCCAACATGCCTACTCCACCCCTCCACCCTTCTACCTCCAATCCCACATATATATCTAATACTTACATATCTACCTAGACAATTCTACGCCCTCTCAATGCGCCACCACCCAGACCGCAACCGCACAGACCCAGACGCAAGCCAACGCTTCGCCCGCATTTCCGCCGCCTACAACGTCCTCGGCAACGCCTCAAAGCGCGCAGTCTACGACCGTGACCACGGCTTCCACACCACGCAGCACACCTCCCCAGGCCAAACCCACAGCCACCAACACCCGATGGGCAGCCACAGCAGCTACGCCGGCTCACGACCCGCCAGCGGGCTGAGCAAGCGGCGCTCCGCATTCCGCGGTCCACCGCCCAGTTTCTACGAGCAGGGTGGGTATGGTGCTACGGGGAGACAGGCGCAGGGATGGGCGGCTGCTAGTGGTGGTGCTGGAGCGGGGTCGGAATTCGGGGCTGGCGCTGGCGCTGGGACGAAACAGGCTGATCCGGAGGATTGGGAGGGGTTCATTCATCGGAATCCATTGAATCATTTTAATGCTCAGGGGCATTTCCGGACGCAGGCGGCTGAGGATAGGAGGAGGAGGGAGAGGAGGAAGGAGGCTAGGAGGTTTGATGAGGACCGGGTTGAGCGTGAACCTGGGGTTGATCAGACGATTTCAAGGTTCTTTCTTTGTTCCGGGTGTTTGATTGTTATGCTTGTTGTGGTTGATCTTTGGCGGTCGGTTCCGAAGGCTGTTGATGGGAGGAAGACGAGGAAGCAGAGGGAGGCTTTGTCTTCTTGATGGAGTTGTTTTACACTCTTTCGGACATACACCCTTGGATACCTGTGCATATAGTTTCTTGGCATTTAATAGATAGTTGAAGTACATTGCTGGTTGACGTACTCCTACTCTTGCATGGCTACGAGCACACCTCCTGGTGCTTTAGATCGTACGAACGGATCGGATTGATCAACAAAGGAAACAGTTGGATTTGATATACAAAGGGTGACCGAGCAGAAAGATCTACGACACACGCACATGGTTATTATCTTGGACGAAACCCCCACCATAATCATCGTTCTGGTGAATCAGCAAGACAAGTGAACTAATAACTGAAGTTTACAAAAGTCTTCCCAAAAGATGGCAGGTCATCTGTCAGGTTCCTGGAAGGCTTAAAATCCGGACGCTTAAGCCTCGAAGGTGAAGCTGGCGCCGACCTTGTGGGCAGCCTGGTTCAGGTTCTGGGTATCGAAGGAAGCACCGAGGCCGAGGGTGACACCAGGGCGGAGCAGGACGTTGTAAGCCAGAGCGGCAATACCACGGTCGTTGATCTTAGCCTATATTGCGAGAAATTTGCGCGATTAGTCGTGATTCACAACAGCGATATAAGCACTTTAAAGGCGTAAAACTAACCTTGGCGAAGGAAGAGGGGTCCAGGCGGTACTTGCTGGCGACCTCGAGGCCGACGGCGTTGCCGGAGGTGGAGTCCCAAGAAGCCTTGGCACCGGCCTCGACCTGAGCGTTGACGCGGTGGTAGTAGCTGGCAGAGAAGAGGGACAGGTTGTTGCTGGCGGTGATGGCAGCAGAGTACTGGGCAACGCTGTAGCCGACGGCAGCGGAGTACTTGGTGATGGCGGCCTTGTTGACGTCGTAGCCACCCTCAGCACCGACGAGGAAGCCCTCGTGGCCGAGAACGGCGTCGAAGTTGGCGGTGGGGCCGTTCAGGAGATCGAAGAAGGCACGGGCGTTCAGGTTGGGCTGCTTGAAGTACAGGTTGAGCTTGGCACCCTTAGACTGCTTAGCGGGCTGGTACTGGGTCAGGATCTCAGCCTTGAGGCCCTTGGCGATGTTGTTGTCGAGCTCGAGCTTGGTGTCGAGAGCGTTGGCGGTGGTCCAAGCCTGGGTGAGGGTGAGGCCTGGTCGGAGTGAGCATATTAGCCTAATCCTCTGCACCTTGGCATCCGAAAAAATAAATAGGTTCGCCCGGCGCGCTATTGGAACACCGCATCCAAACATCAATGGCATGAGACGGGCTTCGTGCACGCCGGGATCGGGAGGTCTTTTGTGGAAGGGGCCTTTACCAGTGGGCGCATCAACGTATTTGGCCTCGAGCTATAGGCGCACCAGTTAGCAATTTGCGTAGCGGATTTGGAAATGATATTCAACGAACCTGACCAGCAATGGGGCCCTCGTGGGCAGACTTGCCCTTGACGGTGAAGGTGACACCGTTGGGGGCCTTGGACTTGACCTCAAGGTTGGCTAAGAGCTTTTAATCAGCTATCAAATCTTCAATAAGTGGCGCAATGTCGTGGGTAAACGAACCGGCAGCGCCGTGGTAGAAATCCTTGTTCAGGAGCTATTGGGGTTAGGTGTTAGCCAAGGTTCTGAGTTTTGTTCCCAACAGTTTTGCGTACATCGTTGGTCGCCTTGGCGATATCGGAGAAAGCAGCGGGGGCAGACATATTGACGAGAGAAGTCTAATTAGAGATGGAGGGAAAAGAGGTTTTATGAAGAGATGAAGAGAGAGGAAGGGAAGGAGAGTTGTGATGATGTTGGGGGGAACCTAGGGGCTTAGCACGGGTTAGTGGGAGGTTGGTGATTGGCGGTTGCCCGGCTGCCGGGAAAGCCCGCCGGCAATGTTTGGGCAGGGCAGGTCACGTGCTTATGTAAATACTTTCAAAGAAAAATATTGAGATCATAACATTATACCGACTATATACCAAAAAAGGGTATATACAATCTAATCCGGTGCTATATCCCCCAAAGAAAATGCTAAATCAGAAAACGAAGTTCAGATCCTTTTGTTTATAAGCTCTCAGACTTTTTACTGCTTGTCATACTTCTGGTTGTGGATGGCGATGGCTCTGCAAAGGATGGTTAGAGAAACTGAATCGAATAGCGGAATAAAATAATCAATAGCTCACCTTCCACTGGGGTCGGTCTGCTTGGACCAAGTAGGGGTCCAGCGCTCGACAGTGCCGGCACAGTAGGGAGGGAAGTGCTCATCGAACATGGTACGGTACCAGTATCTATTCCCCAGGTTAGTTTTCAACAGTACTACAAAATGGGAAGAACAAGTGAAAAACATACGCCTCCTTGGTGTCGGGAATGTCAGTTCCCCATTCGGGCTTAGGGTTCTTCATCATCTCATCAGTGACCTGGCGCTCGGCCTCATCCTTCAGGCCATCAATCCAGCTGTAGCCAACGCCATCGCTGAACTGCTCCTTCTGGCGCCAGAGGATCTTGTCAGGCAAGTAGGTGGCCGTCTCAGGCTCATCGGAGGTGTCGAAGGCCTTGCGCAGCATGTGCTTCTCGATACGCTCCGGGGTGATCATCTTGTCCTGGGGATCAACACCCATGCAGGTCTCGAGGAACTCCTTGTCGAGGAAAGGAACACGAGCCTCAAGGCCCCATGCGGAGGTGGACTTGTTGGCACGGAGGCAGTCAGCCAAGTGCAAGTTCTTAACACGGCGGACGGTCTCCTTGTGGAGCTCCTCCTTGTTGGGGGCAGCGTGGAAGTAGAGGTAGCCACCGAAGATCTCGTCGGAACCCTCACCACTCAGAACCATCTTGACACCCATGGCCTTGATCTTACGGGAGAGCAGGTACATGGGAGTAGAGGCACGGATGGTGGTCACATCGTAGGTCTCGAGGTGGTAGATCACGTCAGAGAGGGCATCCAGGCCGTCCTCAACAGTGAAGGTGAAGGGGTGGTGCTTGGTACCGAGGAACTTGGCAACCTCAAGGGCAGCCTCGGTATCGGGGGCACCAGGAAGACCGATGGAGAATGAGTGCAGCTGCTGGAAGGTGGTGACGGTCGACAGGTCGTTCTCGTCATCAATGCCAACCAATTCGCCGTCCGCAGCCTGGTTCTTGGGAGCGTTGCGAGCAGCTTCGGCCATGCGGAGGGTCTCGCGCTGGGCGATAGACGCGACCAAGCTGGAGTCCAGACCACCAGACAGCAAAACACCGTAGGGCACCTCGGCCATCAGACGCTTGCGGACAGCCTTCTCGAGGCTGTGACGGACCACCTTATAGTCAACAGGAGTTGAGGGGACGTTGGTGGGGTCCCACCACTTGGGCTCAAAGTAGCGGGTCAGGGTGTCGGTCTTGGAATCATAGACGTGGCCGGGGGGAAAGGCAATGATGTCGTCACAGACAGGGTGCAGGCACTTGAGCTCAGAGGCAAAGAAGACGGCGCCGGGAGTGGTGGAGGACCGGCCAAGGTAAAAGCTAGTGATACCAATGGGGTCACGAGCAGCAACAACACGGTCCTGCTTCTTATCCCAAAGAACCCAAGAGAACATGCCATCAAGGTGCTTAGGGGCATCAAGGCCGTACTCCTCATACTAGTATAAATCAGCGTTTCAATTCTATGTCCGATCCCGTTATATCTGGCCTGACGTACCAAGGGAATGATAACTTCGCAATCAGAGTGCGTCTTGAAGTTGTACTTGTGGCGGAGGTTCTTGCGAATGAGGCGGTGGTTGTAGATCTCACCGTTGACGGCGAGGGCGAGGGTGCTATCATCGTTGACGAGGGGCTGGGCACCGGAGTCTAAGAGGATATTGTTAGAATATAGATCTTCAAGTTGTTTATTGTTCGCAGGGGGCCACATACCAACGCCGACGATGCTCAGACGCTCGTGCGCCAGGACTATGAATCGCGCGTTAGCATACCACGCCGACACCAAAATTATTGTGTGTCGACTCACTAGTGCTCTCAGCGCAGAAGTTTCCACCTGTTGGAGGACTTTTGTTAACCCTGTGATCCTCACATATACTGCGAAATGTTGAAACTCGGCCTGTGACTCACTCCAATCGGGACCGCGGTGACGCACACTATGATCAGGACACAAGTCAGCGAGAATTCTATAGATTGCGAATTCCAAGTTGCAGATTTCCGCAATTGAAGAACATTTGAAGCAATGGAGATACTCACGCCTTGGCCATGCGCAAAGCCGTAGGCTTGAACTTTTGCACATCAGGGTGACTATAGGACTTCTAGTTAGTATTTCGCAAATTGACATCCCACCAGATGGAGTTAGAGTAGGACATGACGAACTGGTGGCACGCGAAAATTCCACACATGATGGGCAATTGAGAACTGTGGGTAAAGATTGAAGATCAAGGAGGAGAGAAAAGAAGGGTTCCGTAGAATTGACTAATCGTCTATGGGGAACCATAGAACGGCGATTTTTTTCAAATTTGCCCCGGTGCCGTCTCGGCGGGGCGAGGGGCGATGTCGGCAAGTCTTTGAGTCACCGATAAGATAACGGCCCTTTGGACCATTCGAAGGAGTTAGCTTCCACTCGTACAGGTTAAGGGTTTTACTTCTCCTTGCTGTGGCTAGGTATGTGACTGTATGTGTGTTTTTGTAATCGGGTCATATTACCTAGGTATGCTAGTCGATCTCAGTCTGACAGGGAATCCAGAATGAGCCTATTATGTATCACGTGACTTATATACCCCCACCATGTGAACTATAGCCCTAGCCAAGCTTCTTTGAAGTGTACCTTGATGTCTGTTCAAGGAAACTGATAATAAATATCAAATGGGATGTGTAGCCAAGGATATCAAAACGCTACTATTCTTATCACGAGCTCGTGAACTAAATTCCCCAGCATGGCTGTCGATTGCTTGGAAGAGCACGGTTGACAATAGTTAGAACGAGCGTAGTCCCATTCAGGAAAAGCTTCTTCCTGGTAGTATTTCTCTACCATCAGCATGGAATTTGTAAGGCCCCTTCATTATAAAGACCTCTGGGGAAATCGGCTCTAACACAAAGGCGAGGCACCTGTCTCGATATTGAGGCCATCAAGATCTATGCGGGACCCACAACCTTGGAAGGACTGCATCGGTGACAGTGAGATACTTTTGGAGGTTGGTGTCTTGTTAATTAAAATTGCAAGTTGAATGCAGCTCCCCGAGACCCACCATAGGCTCATTCCATCGGCGCAGAGAGGTATGGATATTGTGTTAGCTACCTAGGTTGTTTTACCTATGTAAGTACGACATCGAACTTCTTCTGCGGGAGTCATCCCGTACTCAATACATGGCAAGCCTAAGCATCCCATCAGGGAGCATATATGTGGTATCATTGTTTTTGGATGACCTTAAGCCCAGAAAACGCCATCCATTGGGATATGTAGAAACGCCATGCTCGCGATAGAAAAGCAAAATTTGCTCCTTCGTTAAACAAGAAATGCATAATCTTGCCACAATCTCCCCGATATCCCATGCTGAAAGAGAGAAAAAAAAAGATTGACCCATGTAGCGCCATCGCTGTTTACGCTGGGGTAACTCAAAGCCTGATTGGGCTGGTTTCCTAATTGGGCTGGTTTTCCTTGACGACCATGCGGACCCTGCGTTCGTATTGAGGACGGTCCTTCTTGAAGAGGTTGTAGGCCTCAGCCTGCGCAGGTGACTCGGGGTTCGGGTCATCGAGGAGATCTTGGATACCAAGCAAGAGCTGCTTAATAGTGATGGCAGGTCGCCAGCCCTCCTCCTCATTCAGAATTGACAGGCAAACTGTTCCGGAAGGGTAGACATTGGGGTGGAATAGTGCTGGCGTAAATTTGCCTGAACAGTTCTTGTATTAGTGTTTTGTTGTCACAGGAAATCATAGTGGCAGCTCCCAGAAGAAGCTCTCTTCCAGCAAGTTGACATAATATTATACCACAAAGGAGATACATACATTTGGGAGGCTTGGTAGGATATTCTAGAAGCGTAGAAAACCCTAGATTAGTATAAGGATCTTCAATATTCATGAATTTACGCCACTCACCGTCGGGGAAGATCAAGTCGATCTTGAAAAGTCCACCTTCCCAGAGAGTGTTAGCCTTGCCTGGAATAGCACATTCCCAGTTCTTCAGGTCGAGGCCACCCTGCGGGGCACGTTTCGGCTTTGCGACAAAGCCAAATGGGTGGTCGCGACGCCATTGCTTTCTAGGGAATCCATAAAGGTCAGCGCGGGGCAACGGTATGGCGCAAGTGATGCGCAGAATCGCGGAATCCGCTGAACCAGAAATATACTTACCGCTCTTCTTGGAGACGGTTCTGGCACAAGGACATCTCGGGCAGTGTTCAGCGGGTGTGTAGCTGAAACGGGTTGACTCGCGGAAGGTGATAGAAGATCAAGCAGCAGGAAGATACAACTTGGCTAAAAATAAGGCAGAGCACAACGAGTGATTGAGTGATGGGTAATGAGAAAGGGAGAAAGAGGTGAGGCGATGAGCGGAAGATTTTGAAGGTGGCAATCGTCAAAGCCGGGGAGGTGATAGCAATTGACCTCCCCACGCGAACAATGAGCTTGCTTATGTAATATCTGCTAAGGACCTCGGGACCGGCCCGGCCTTGTCCAGGAACCTACCCTAGGAGCCTCACTTCTATTGTCACATATGTAGGCATGAATGACAATTACAACTGGTTCTGTGGTATATCCTTTATTTGATATTTTCCATGTGGCTATATGTTTTACTACTTCGTCTGGTCCCAATCCAGTATCGTTTATACTTCTCCGAGGGCAGTCCTGTGCTGGGTATGTATGTAGGGCTACACTTGCACTTCTTAACGACTTGATTGTTACAAGCTAGTTTTACAGATACGAGCTGCATCAACTAAAATAATGCAACGGCGAGGATGTTAAATTACAGGTCTTGTTCTGTATTATGAACCACAGAGAAATTGAGGGCATGCGGGTCCAGCCCTTGACAAGTGCTGCAGTACTACAAGGGATTTTGTGCTCCCACACGGTGCCATGATTATGTCTCTCCTCCGTTGGCGTGGATCGTCGGGCATTCTGTGAACTTCATTATCTATTTATTGTGTAGGTAGAGAAATGAGAGGTAATGAAAAGAAGGGCGACTAGCTCTATCTATATCACTAGTCCGCCTTTTGACGCTGACTCGCGTTGCGAGTATCCATCCACTCCCATATAGGTTCCAATTTGCGGCACGTATAAATCTGCCCAACTCCAAGGCCAACTATATCATTATTATAATGATACACAGGGACCGGTGATAGGTCTCCATGACATTGGATAACTTGCCACAGCTGATCCGGACAATGATCACGGTGAATTGGATTCAATTATCTGGAAACTTTGTGGACTTTTTGATGGTAGCATGTAGGCTTTGCTATCCTAGCTCAAGGGCCTATATTACTGTATGCTAGTAGGCAGCGTGAACGGGCCTTATAACTTGATGTACAGAGAGGGATCTAGTATATGAAATATAACTGTATTGATGATCTCTTAATTAAAATGCAAACAGTCAACTGTATTCGCTATTTGGATGATGATCCACCCATAAAAACATTCATATAAAGCAGCGCTATACTTCAGGTCAACCCTACCTGATACAAGTCAAGTCCCGGTTATTCTATCTGCAATTACAATACCAATGTGTTTCCTTCTCTCAACAAACACTACACTAGGCAAAACATCCTAACTTATGACCTTCGGCTGCAAAGTTATGAACAAAGGCATTCATATGTTCCTCCAAGCTAACAAAGAGGGTCTATAATGCCTTCTATCAACGACAATAACGGCGTAGGGACCCAGCGAGAAAATGCTTCTTTATTCGAACCCGGATTGACATTCGACAAAGGCTCTTTCCAACAAAGCTTGTCGGCAGATGCCAACACACTTTGAGTCTGGTCTGAGGCGTATAAAGGAAGATCTACCCGTTTCATCTGTCATACTTCCCTCCACACTCAGCAACCCTCAGCCAAAGTCCTATCAGAAATACTTACGAACGACATCCCAAAGCTGCATACTATCATCTATCATCATGTGTCATTCAATTATCTGGTACTATGCCCTATGCCAGCACCAATGCCCGGATGCAAGCTACTCAATCGCATGTCACGGAGCCTTCCAAAGGGGCTACGAGTGCACGGAAGATCGAAGCACATGTTTCTTCTCACTTATAGGGAATTGTGTGCAATGCAGGCTTAATCAGCTGCTGCTACGCCATTGTATCTTCCGCGAATGGCGGAGAGAAGATCTATCGTCTGTATTAGACCATGCATTCCAATATAGCGATGAAGATGGCTGGACTATCGATGACAGCGACGCTGAGGAATTGGATATGGAAACGTGGATCTCCCAGTCCCCCAGCTTGACTCTTAGGTGTTTTGCTGACCGAGCTGAGAGCCGGGAGACCCGTACGTCGTTCCATACAGGTCCGGCACGCATGCCAACTCTAGTGGAACAGTCCTCGCCTCACTTGTCTTGTGTCGCTTTAGTTGAAAATGCTGATGATTACGCTGATGACGAAGCGGAGACATTGCAGGAACCTCGGCCCCAAACGAACCGAAGCCGGCGGTCTAGGATTCCTCTGCCTACTAGTTCGGTGCGCAACCAGCAAAATCGTACATACCTGGCATTTATCACTGATGACGATACGTCGGACACGGAGCCTTTGCTTCACACTTCTAAGCCGAAACGGTATCGTCAGACTTGGCGTTCCTGGATTCCACTTCCCGTTAAGAAGGTGTCGGGGCAATAGGTTGATGGATTAGAGTGATGGGATGGAAGTCTTTGATCAGAAGTTTGAGGTTTCATAGGGGATTAAATGATTTACAGTTGAGATACTCCATAGCCTGCGTCCTTTTTTTTACTTTCAGAGGTAGTCTTTAGAAGAAAATTGCAATGAGAGTATACTAGAGCGATATCAAATGAAATCGAACATTATCATTAACATAGCTAAGTACATGAAAGCGCAATAGTCGAGAATGCGCAAATGAACAAATTATCGAGATGTCATAGCGTACATAGAAGGGCTCGAATATGGGCAATTAGGCCGTGTAAATCCCCAGTTCAAACTTCTCGAGGTCAAAAAATCGCGCGGTGATTGTGTTACCATTGAACATACGGCCTTCGAGCGCGTTCACGGCCTTCGTACGTGCAATAGTCAGCAATGCACAAACTCACATTTGAATCAAGATGTAGATTCCAAAGCTTACCCGTAGCCCAGACAAGGGATCCTTAAATTTGACAAAGACCGGGACTGGGGTTCCGACGTCGCGAGGAATGACGACTCGCTCCACGGGTCCATACTATAAGCCCCTCAAGTTAGTAAAAGTCCCCAGGTGAATCGACGAAAGGGAACATACCTTCTCGTCACACTCCCCTCCAATCTCCTGCACCAAACCACCACCATCACTTCTCTCTATCTCCGCATCCAGGTCCATGCCTTGCAGCATGCCCCGTAGGATGACCACTTGGCTCATAGGGCCAAACTTGCTGGTCTCATATTCACCCTTCTTGTTGCTTCCAATGATCTTACCTCGTCCAGCAGGTGTGACAAAACCACCACCCTCTGAGTCTGGTCGCTTCTTTCGCTTCTCAATCTTGACTTCCAGCGGCTTCACCATACCAGAACCAGTAGCGCCGAGGCCAGATCCTTTGGTCCAGCCATACTTAGAAAGAAGTCGTTCTGCGAAGCCTTGTTGCCCGGGACGAAGGGATCGTGGCGCGGATTCATCTGGCTCCTCCTCCCCCGGTTGCTCTTGGGCCAATACAGCTTCAAGCTCGGCTTCGGAGGCCGGGATGTCTTCTGGGGGTGGTGGAAGAGTGTACCGGACCGGTGCACGGGAGATGGTTGCGGAGCTGGGTTGGATGGCGTCAAGGGGGCGTGAGGGTGCAGGAGGTGGAATGACTTGTCCCGATGGTCGGTTCTCGGCTCTCTGGAAGCGGCGCATGTACATGTCTTCGCCAGTGGGGTGATCGGCAATTGAGGTAGAATCTTCGGTTCGGGGAGTGCGTGACGGGCGTTGCCCTAATGCTGCACGGCGAGCAAATGCGTCCTCACCGGATGGGTTATCGGGGACAGAAGCTAGGGGTGGCACATCGTTAAGATTCGGCGGCGGCGCAAAGTTGCTCGGTGGCGCGAATTGTCCTGATGGTATCTTTTTAGTCTGGGCGTCATCACTAATCGCAAAAGACCCGAACATACTCTTTTTTGGCCGGTCATCATCCTCGCTATCGGAATATCTGCTCGGTGAACGCTTCCTGATATGCGCATACAAGCCATCTTTCCACTCGCGGATTTCACCAATCTTCTCATCGCTATGGCGGTATTCCGCGCAATTTGTAGGTCGAGAAGGGTCGTAGATATCTTCCCAGTTTTGGACAACATGTGTTTCGAAGTTCTTCTTGCGCTTCTTTCTTCCACCGCGCTGCCGCTTCTCGCGCGTGTACTCATAATCGTCATCTTCAACGGCGGCCCAATCAGCCAAAGTGCTCTTTGTCGGCACCGAAGATTGGTTGACTGAGGGCTGTGGTGGAGGCGCTGCCTTGGGTAAAGTATGTTTCGGTTTAGGCTTCTGGGCAGAGAGCTGTGGTCTTTTGGGAGGCTGGAACCGAAGAGAAGCTATCAAGAAAGGGAAAAGTCAGACTGTAGCGCTCAGAGTATGCAACAAGTGAAGGGTAAATACCAGGATTCAGTTGTTGCTTTTTGGCCGCGTCGTCGGGTTGAGGTTCGGTCTCCGGCTGCTTAAAGACAACAGGTGCACGGGATATTGTGCCAGGCGCATCAGTAGACGGATCAAGTAAATTGGCGTACAGGGACATGCCCCTTTTTGGAGGGGGATCAGAAGCCATGATTGTTATGGGAAGAAGTCCCCAGGGTGCGTCGACGGCCTGAGAACGTCGGCATCGATTAACCGCGATAAGGCTCTATCTCTCCGCTCGATTCTCCGCCTCCCCACCAACACCTGTCATCCATGCCTATTCCTCACCTAGGCGGCTTTTTCTTTTGCTTCTTTTTTTCCTTTCGTCGTCAGCAATTTTCGAAATTTGCTTAATTGTGCCCTTTGCCAAAAGAAGTCTGCGTCTATTTAAACCAGTTCTGCTGGCAAAGGTGAACCTGAGGATACATAGCTCAAGCTTAAATCAAAATCACCGGGAACGCGATGACCCAACAAAGTCAAAATCCCAAAGCATTAGGAAAGCCAAAAGGGGTATGTACAATATATTCCAAAGAAATCTAGAAACTACACTATCGGGCGACTTAATTTTTCGGCCAAACTCTCTAATTTTTCCTGTCTTCCACATAAAATGGGTCCTCTAATATGTACTAATGTCCTGCTCTTGATCTAGTCTCTCAATGCTCCTATTGCAGCTTTTACAATGGCTGTCATCCTTTGTTCATATTGTTTTAGCTCTATCCGCACTGCACGGCGAGATGCCCAGATCCAAGGCCCCGGTTCTTATCAGCGAGCTATGCCATCCGAGAGGAAAGACGAGTCCTGGGTTCAACAAGCACTTGATGAGAGTCGAGCGCAGAACAGCGGGAAGGGACGACCTTGAGGTGCACCTATGTTGAAAGGTGCTTTTTGTATCATATGGATTGAACCCACCACAGTGTTTGATAGATAATTTGCCAACATGTATTAACTCTTTGTTCATTGAGACTCTTTGGTGCTAATATAGAAGGTAAAAACAAAGCGGAATCAAATGGAAGTAACATCTGCGTCTTCATATTCAATCAGAATTTTCAGTGTATGAATGATCATGCCCCGGGAGTCTAAGTGTATTGACGACCCAGTTCAATCTTGAAATTGTTCATCATGCGAATAGTGAAGGAATATGTGATGTGGCCAAAGGTATTGCAAGGTGCGTGAAAGTAGATAGGGGTGATATAAAACTGTACACACACATCTAACTGCCTTTTAATAGATCAATAGATCAAATGGCGAAAAGCTGATGGGGTTATTAGCTTAACGCAAGTCAGGTTGCATGTAAAAGTGGTTAGTAAGTGGACCTGATCAAAATCAACATTTGAGACTGAACTGCAAGTTGATCCTCAAAGTGCCAGCATTAAACACCTGAAAAACAAGTACAGACTGATGGTGAAGAAAAAGTGCGAAGGGAGAGTGGAAAGGAAAGAGGGAAAAAAAATAATTGCGGGCAAATTTAAATAGTGCGTCACGTGATTGTCCCATATATTTGCTCACTCATCTACTTGCTGGGGTGCATTTTATACAAGCTATATCAGCGTTAAGTTGAACACTGGGCTTTAAAGACCAGTGCTTTGACGTACATAAGCTATGCCTCCCATTCAAGGTACGTGACCGTGTCATTTTGCATACGAGTATAGTCTCTATACGAAGATTGCTTCGACTCGATTTGAAGTAGCATAGATCAACTCATGTTGACTTCACATGAGACTGGAACATATAGCCCTTCCTTAATTTCAAGGACTGAACTTTTTCGTTATTCCATTCTCCCAACCTCTTCTCAACTATCTTTCTCTTTCCCATTCATCTCCTCAGCCGTCTCTCTCTCTCAATCTGTCTTTCCTTAACTATCTCTCTCTTACCTTTCAAGATGCCGTCAGCGAAAAGCTCCTCCCTATTTTGCCAGGCGCTGCGGGTTCTCTTTATGGACGATTGTTTCTCTGATGTGACCATTGTCTGCCAGGACGTGACTTTCAAAGCGCACCGTTCCATTATATGCACACTGTCTCATTTCTTTGACACTGCCGTTAAACACGGCTTTCAGGTAAGATGCTTACCGCCCAATAGTTTCAGCTGCTTAACACTCTTTCTAGGAATCCATCAGCGGGACCATCAATCTACCTGACGACGACCCAGAGACGATCAAACAAGTCCTCTGCTTTCTCTACCAGCAGACTTACGACGACAATGACCAAGATGGAGCCAAAGAACAACACATCAGACAACTCTGAGAACGTAACGAACGAGCTTGATAACAAAAAGGCCACTGCTTACAACAACCTCTCTGTTTACCTTGCGGCAGATGAATTTGGCATCTTTCCACTCAAGCAGCTTGCTTTGTGCAAGCTTTCTGCATGTCGGCGACGACTCAGCCAGGTAACCAAGGTGATGCGATGTAAACATCGTGACTTTTTCTTTACACGTATTATTCCATGAAAACTCCGCTTCCTCATTCAGTCTGAAATCTCATCAATTTCAACTTGCCAAAATTGCACCGAGTGCTACGATGCCGTGGGGATCGAGCCAGGGCATTGTGCTCACCCTCGCATATGCCATCTATCATATCGGCGTCCTCGGCCGAGAAATCCCCCCTAATGCAACAGCAGAGACACCTTTCCCGACTGAATTGTGCATCAGAGACTACTGCATGACATCCTCTTTTCCTGAAATCGCTCTCCAAATCATGACCTCAATACCCCTCATGATTCCATCTTCTCGGTGTCCTGGTGGAAGTCGTTTACCCAGATCACCTACCATGGTTCAGTTGAGGATAAGGAAACTCCTCTTGCCGCCTTGTGTGGAGAAAATGGTCAAGGAGGCAGCGACGCGCCGTCGCTGCAATACGACGCTGAACAGAGTATAGACGCTAACGCAGGCGGCTTCGGCCTTCTTACGGAATGCGAAAAATGAACGACAAAATCGAGAACCTCGAATCTCATCGGCAGAGCCGAGCATCTCTACGAGCTTGGCTACGACAAGGAAATCCTTGAGCTCCTATGGGAGTACGGTCAACTCGGATCTCTGATTATAGCGAGAATGGTTGAAAATGGCATGATTGCTTATTGTTGTTGGGAGTGTGGGATACGCTTTAATGTGGCCCCATATGGAGGCGGCACAATTTCCCCAGATGGGTTTTGTCCGTTGTGACAATTGTCGGGCTCGGCATGAAAGCTGATTAGTTATCGTAAAGATGAGATCAATACAATTTCAAAACAACAACTAGTACAAAGGAGGTAGAACCCATAGAGATACGGCAGTCTAGAGGGCTGGTGGAATTCGTACCAATGGTCGAGATAAATTCTCGCCCATCATTTCCGAGTAGGTAATTCCAATTGAAATATGTTCCTCGTCTTTCAAAATCAGATCTGAGAGACATTGCTTTATTCAAATATGTGTATTCACAAGAATGGGCGAGCATGCAGAACAGGTGATGTATATACAGAAAGGACATGCAGAAGCCAGGAAGACGGTAGACAAGTTTAGAAAGCAACAAGAAAGAAAGAAAAGCCATGCTTTGAGCCACAATAATCTTTCCGCTAAGATGCAGTGAGCATGTGAATACATGTGAAAGCTATTTCACATGTCAGAGGCTTGAAGGCTGGAGGCACTGTCATCTATGCCAAGACCCTTGTATGCTTTCAGAATGCAGTAGCCAAAAATTTACTCGCTAAAGATCTCTGCAAATATCGAGTAACAGACCACCTCGTCCATGTCTATACAGGTCGTGACAAAGGGAAAAAGAAGGACTTGGCGATCAGAAGCGGTGTGGGTGCGATGTTTTAGAAGCGGATATGAAGGGGGAGTTTGAGATTGGAGGTAGTCTCTTATGTGTTGTATAATGTGGGTATCAAATAGATCCCCGAGCTTCTTCTTCCATCTGGATCTTCAGCGCACCTTCGTGCTGCAAGATATTGATCTGCTTTCGCAGGTATTCGTAGGTGAGCATAGTCGTCATGGCAGCCGGAACAGCCCGGAACAGGTTGACGCCGATCCCGGAGTAAAACGCGCGCCATCCCTCTTCCTTGAGGATCGTCTGGAAGGTGCGCACCATGCCACTATAGCGTGGGCGGCCGGGCATTCCATCTGATGAGGACATGCCACCCGACCGGCCGCGGTCATGCGGATGTTTCAATCCGCCGCGGAATGTAATCTCTTCGTGAGATTGTGCCGGAACAGTCCGTTGCTGTGTTTGAAGACGAGTCCGTAAGACCTCGTGCGGGTATGTAACTGTGCTTGCACAGATCTTGCTGAGGAAAGTGGCAACGGATATTCCCACCCAGTGCGAGCTCCCGGTATCGGGGTGTTCACCGATACTATAGCCTGTGAACGCCATCTTTAGATATTCGTAGAGGGGGAATTGAATGGCCACATGGGTCAGTCCCAGCAGAGCTGGGGTGAGGCCAGAGTAGAAGGAGCGAATGCCCTCAATTTGATACATCTTGCGAGCAGCATCCCATGTGCCTGAGTATTGCCAAGGGGCTCGTACTCCTTCGCTGTTTTGTTTAAGGCTTTGTGACATGAGCCTGGTCTTGATGACCCAAATGGGGTTCGTCACAACTGTTGAACATGCACCGGCTGTGATTGAAGCATAGCCGCGGGATAACCACCAGCTTCCTGTAAACCGGTCAGTACTAATGAATGACTGAATCCCCCATTCTAGAGGTACATACCTGTCTGGTCATGGAAATATTCACGACTCCGGTCATAGACTGCTAGGTAAACAGCCCAAGTGGGGAGATATCCCAGCAACATTGGACCTAGTCCCTGGTAGAGACCGCGAATGCCATCTTCCCGCCAAATCCTCCTGCCGCTTCCGAGCATGCCACGATACAGCACCCCCGAGGCAACTTCCTTTGCTCCCCGCCGAAACCCGCCCTGGGCTTGGAGCTTCGTTTTGATGACATCAAGAGGACAGGTGACAATACCAGAGGCCACGCCAGCGCTGGCTCCGCAAAAAGGTGCTATGTAAAAGTTGGGTATCTTGGTAGAAAAGAGCTCGAGGCGGGTTTTTAAATCAGAAATCGGTGCGGCGGGCACGTTGGCGGAATTGCCGACATGGATTGACCGAGTTTGGTTTTGGGAGCTGTTTGGAGCGCTTCGGCCGTTTGTAGTCATCTTGGTGGCCGGCGCTCACGCAGCTTGTCGAACCGTACTGAATCAACGAGGGCTCCCGGACACGAGCATATCGGGTGCTCGATCCGGAACCCAAGAACCCTATTTCAAACCGAGCTGGGAAAGAAATGTAGATTTATCCAAATATCCAATGTCCAAACTCCGTAAATGGTGTAAGAAAGAACTTGTGAGTAACGACGGAGGATTGAGAGAGAGTTTTCTGGGGCCGATGGTTGCCGAACCCGGAGTGGTTGGTTTGGATGCGCAATGTTCTATTATCTTGCAGCACGGACGTGGGCGGGGTTCTCAGAACAATCAAGCTTCTTGACGTAGGCAGGGATCAGTAGTTCCTTCAACAATTAGCAAATCCCATCTCTGTCAAAGCAAGCGATAGGATCGAAAAGGGGATATGACATAGGAAACCCATCTCTTGGGTGGAGTGCGCCGATTGACATTCCCAGTTTCTCCACCGCCTGAGGCATAAAAGGGTCACGTGTTTGTAGCCTCAGGCGTTGAACTGCCGTTTCAGGACTAGCCGCCCGAGCTCCGTTTTGCACAACCTCGCAACATCGGGTCATCTCGTGTTCCAGTCGGATAGCCTTTCAACCCTTCACCACACCCACGTCAATTGGGATATCCGGGATTCAAAATGTCTGCCCCTTCGCTCGCCAGTTACATCGTCAAGCGCCCATGGCTCAAGAGCTGGCTCACTCCCCTCTCCCACTGGTACACCGATGCCGCCGGCTACAGGAGACTCGGACTCAAGTAATTCTTGCCCTCCCACATCGATGACCTCCCGATCACGAGCGATTGAGACAATGATTTGGGATTGACTGGTCGAATTCGTCGCGCACCGGTAGCATATCTTTTGAATGCGATCACAGTTGTGTCGAATTTGCCCGGAGCCCCGGTCTTTCGGATATCGTTCGCGGCAGGGTTGGACCAAAACACTTGCTAACCGCCCAATTAGGTTCGACGACCTGATCCCTGAGGAGAGCGAGAACGTCCAGAAGGCCATCAAGCGTCTTCCCGCCAAGGAGGCCTATGACCGTGTCTTCCGTATCCGCCGTGCTTTCCAGGTTCGACCGACCCCCTTCTTCCGTATTCGACTGGCGCGAAACCTAACAAATGTGTCAATTGCAGTGCTCCATCTCCCACACTCTCCTTCCCGCTAACGAGCAGATCAAGCCCGAGGAGGTGAGTCCCCAACATCCAAATTTCGCCCTCCCCGCATGGGTCTCCACCGGCCAATCCTGTTGCACGGATTTGTCACTCCAACCTCGACTCCGTTTTGGGGCATCTACTCAACACAACGAACACGATGCTAACGATGCGAATCAAATAGGACGTCGAGTACCTGAGCCCCATCATCCGCGAGATCGAGAAGGAGGCTAAGGAGCGTGTTGACCTTGACAACCTTGTTGTCCGCAAGTAAGCCGTTGCTGCTTGGTTCAATAGAATATGAAAACAAGGGGTTGGGGTAGCATTGTTGTTGGCATTGAATAAACGCCTGGTGTGCTTTCTTCGTAATGGAATGGTCGCTGTCGTCGGCGGCCCATGGCTTGGTTACGCAGCCTGAGTGTACTGATACTGTACAAATCGATTTTCTTCGCGCGCTTATATCTTTGGTCAATATTGTAACAGACAGGATAAGCGGGTCCTTCATTTCTTAGTGCCTCCTAAACTTTAGTATTGACTGGGGCAGTTCGGGATAGTTTATGCGGGTTGTGGCAGCTCAGCTGATCGCTTTGGGTGTTAGGCACCCAACATCATCTGGCTGCACATGTATAACATCTTTAATTATAACCGCTTTTCTCATGGCTGCAAGATCAGAGCCATAATTCACCTCAAATATTAACTATGTACTATAGCGACATCACATCTATACTACAACATCATCTCAAATGCTCAAAGTCCAATAAATCACATGGTATCCAGGGCCTGACTCGCGGATGTAGTACTTCTATGTCCTTTAACCCCCAAGAACAGCCACGTCAACGTCCTCAATCCGCCACATATACCACATAAAGAGACTCCTGGATCAACTAAATAAGCACATTGTCTACACCATGAACAGGGTCAGGCATACCTATATGGTGCAAACTTGGCAGCAAGTTCCAGCATATCCTTTTCGGCCATATATTTGAACTTACCACCACCCTTGCCCTTGAGTTTGCTCACATCACGACCCACAAAGGCAGCACAGCCTCGTCTACTACAGTGTCAATAAATGCTTCCGCTGAGTCACAACACAAACATCTCCAGCCATAAAATCGAGAATTCGAATAGAAAAAAAGCAAGAAATGGACTTACTGTACTCCCAAATCTCCAGTAGAAAACACATCGATGCGCTTAAGCGCAAACATAGCAAACATCTCAACCGACCACTTCCCCAATCCACGAACAGCAATAAGCTTCTCAAAAAGCTCCTCATCAGTAGCCCGCGCCAACATCCTCGCCCCAAGCTCTCCACTAGCAAACTTTTCCGCAAGACCCTGGATATACTCCGCCTTGCGCTGTGACAGCCCTGCCGTGCGTAGGGTAGCGATATCACACTTGGCGACCTGATCCGGTGTTGGAAACTTTGCATGTCTATGTCCATCAGGCGCGACGGTCTCGGTTAAATCAAACAGCGTCAGAAATTTGTTCTTGATAGACTTTGCTGCCGCGCCAGAGACTTGCTGGCCGATGATGCTGCTGGTCAGGCTGTTGAAGGGGTCGATTTCCTCTGCTAAGCCAGCAGGTGAGAAGAGCGGACATGGATTCCGCTCGATCACTGTTGCGATGCGTGGATCTGTCGCTATGAGGTGCGCCGTGGCTTTCTCGAGTAGTGTCCCCGTTGTGGCCGTTGGTGGTGGAAGGCCCGTTTTCGAGGGGGAGACATCTTCTGCGTGCGCTGGGTAGGCATTTACTGTTGAGCCATGAGGGGTGATTAAGGTTGCGTTTGTTCGGTGCGGGTCGACGGGGCGGTCGAGGGGAGGGGGTGTCTGAGGTCTGAATATCGTGGGGTCAGTGGGAGAGGGCTGGTTGTCTGTTCCTTGTTTCTCTGTGACTGCTGGCTCTGGGGACCAATAGGAGGTTCCTGTTTTTGGTTTGGTTTTCGTGGGTTTTTTATCTGATTTGTTGGACTTTGTGGGTGCCTTGCGAGGTTTTCTCACTGCGCTGTGTTGCACTCTGGCTGCTTCGCTCGGAGCTGAGCTTTGCAGTAATGGTGTCTTGATGGTCGGGATAGAGCCCAGTCTGGCTGAGCGTCTGAGTGACATTTTTGGGTAATATATATGAGATCGGCCGTTTTCAATGATCTATGTACTAAATCTGAGGAAGTCTCGAGGGGGTTGTAGGAAGCTGGGGTTTGCGGAGGTGCGGAGTTGGAGATCCCACGAGTGCCAAGCACAATGACGCTCTTCAATGGCACCTGGACAGATAGACATGCAAGCTATATCGTTGCATTCTCCATATAATGGTTGATTTCATTTTCCTTGTTCATACTTGTAAGGATACCAGTTTTCATACATGGAGTATTTTCAAATACCAATAGTGTTCACCATATAACTTTTCAATTCCTCTCCCCTAAGCAAAAGGGCACCGCAACACTTATCAACAGGTGCCATTTGCATTAGCCACGCCGTATACGTCAAAAGCCTGGTTATGGTTATTCGCAGTCACAATCTGATCCAATAAAGGTGGTAGACCATGAAGCACCAGTCCGGTCAGACTGGGAGCCCTTTGTGATCGCCTGCAAAAATGAGAACCTTAAATGCCTATTGATCTTTGGATAGTTTGCCAATGTAAGGCATGGCGGTAAGCTGTACAAGCCCACAGTATTTGCATAGAGGGATGGAAGAGAGCTTAAACCGGGGTCCATGGTAGCCATTTTCGGCAACCGATTTACCGTCAATTGACGTCGTGGTGTAAGATATGAAGATGTATCGAATCGCACATTACGTTCGTGCCTTCCTTCCTTACAAAAGGCAGACTCAAAAACTCATCAACGTCCGATTATCTATCTCGAATAAACGTAGCCATCGCGGATCGTCTGCAGTATATATCTGTGCTGCCGTGATGAGCGCCGACTACTATCGTCAGTCCATCATGTTGTGAGCTACCTGCTGCTGGATATCAGTGACTTTGAAGACTTTGCTTGAGTATCGCATTGAAGCCAGATTTGGTGCCGAGGGAAACTCTATATATAAAGTCTTCCACGGTAAACTTGGAGCTCGAGCTTCTTGAAAATCAAAATTCTGCCAACGAGCGTGAGGTTCACGTTATGACTTAGCTTGGCCTATGAGAAGATAATCGAGTGCATGTTGGATGTGGTACGCGACCTGTGAGATGCATGGTTTTATAAGGTTCATTGATGGTTCTATTAACTATTGAGTTATATTTTGCAAGCAGTTCTAGGTATAATCCACGTTGATAAAAGGTCGAGAAAAATCTCAATCTATATACACATTCACGTGCATAAAGTCGAATTCAACGGCTGCCTGAACCAAAACCTATGGTATGTGTCAATGATAAAAAATGTAGGTAGTCGCTAAAAATATGTACCCACAGATTCACTCCACGGTAACCCCTAGCAAATCAATTTGGAATATACGGAAAAAGTATGAAGACCATTGTACCTTGGATTTATACTGAAAAGTCACGCAATTGGATGCGATATACTCCGCTGTAGTACAGTTCCAAGGAACATTAGAACTATCCGCAGAACACCCAGTGGACCGAAATTGAAGATCCATGGTAGTTTCGTAATACAATACGGCTTTTACATGAAATGCCCACAAAGACCTGGAGGATCAAGCATATGTACATACAGTGACATAGCAAAAGTTTGAGCACCCCAGATTCTGCCGGTCAGTATCCACCAATAAAAGGCCGGGTATACCAGACTGTAGAGCTATTCCAGGAAGGCGGTAGTGGAAGGGGGTGTCCAAACTTTTGCTATGTCACTGTATAGTTAATGTATCGGTGTGATTTTACACTAGAAGTACGAAGTAGTGTTCACCCAGATAGATATTACCTGAATATTCAGGTGCTCGCCTCAGTGACCTCCGGGTATGTATTGACCCAATCGCCGACTGATTATATCCGGGAGAGCAAAAAAGGAAATGAAAAAAATATAAGTAGAAACGAACCGTCGATTCATATAAATGCAATTAGAGATCGACCAGTCAAAACAAAGAATAGCATTTAGGCCGAAGCGTTGGACCGAGTCAAATCCCCGAAGACGTTCGTGCATCAGTTTGAAACAAGAATGAATCCTTGTTTGTGCGGCCACTAGTCCCAGAAGCCCAATCTGGCACGAGAACCAAAAGAAAAGGTTCGCATTGCAGCCACAATCTGCACGACTACATACATAATGTACGGAGTAGGATAATCCGGATTAGGGTGTAAACACATACCCCAGAGTGGTCGGGCGAGTGAATTATGTTTGCTTTTCGATTATGGTCTCGTGTGCTGGGGAATGTGGCCATTACTCGCGACCCCTTGGATACAACATAGGTACACGCCCGTTGCCGAGCGTTCCACACATTCCGGCGCGTGGTCAGTCTTTCGGCCATGAAGGGCAGACAGGACGGGAATGTTGACTTGAATGCCGTGAGACAGAAACCACCATACACATGTGTCTTTCCTACTGTGACAAGTGGCTGTTTAGAACCGACAGTACAGAGCTGGCTTAATGGTGGAGAGGTATCTATATTTGTGGCGTAAGGAGCACAGGCAAGTACTTAGGTATGTGTTGAGGTTAGCGGATGTTAAGTTTCTGCGATTTTGCAGACTTGGGTTTGCTGCAAGACAACGCGGCCATTCTCCAAGGTCGACGTAGAATATAACCAAGTTTTCTGATTCTAAGCGATCGAAAAACAGTGGAGCGGTACAAGAGTGGGGTGAGACGTATCGACTCAGTCGGCTCCGTTCTGAAACATTTCCGGGACTTTACACTGTACGTTCTCCGATAATAATGACTTTGTTGCCACCTGAAAGGGGACATTTGTGTCAGTTGCGTACGGAGTAAACCTTCACTACTGGTTAATACTGTCAATTCCATTGAGTCTTGAATAACGAGATGCTATGGAATCTCCATCGAAGATTTGCCGGGCAGATGAAGCTCTAGACATGCTTGATCGTCGTGTCTTAATCGACCAGCTCCATCTCCCAGGCAAAAGTTATAGCCAGGTTCTGCATTGTTACCAAAAACGCACAGACCGTGAAATTTTCATTCGTCTGTACATTGTAAATTGAAAATTTCCAGGTTAATGAGTCGTCGAGATCATCTTGGAGCTGCATCATTGTGATTTAAAGCTGTACATCGTACAATATAGGCAAGGCAGGTGCATGTATACCTAGCAAAATTATGTACCTAGTTAGGCACAAACGAAGAGTGTGGCGAAGCTTCACAAACTTAGTTGCGATCGACCATCATCTCCGATAGTTAAATTACCTCCTGGACCAACTGCTGTGCGCATAGTGTATAAAATAGGGGCCAGTGGAGAGGACTGCATGGCCTGATGCTGAACAATAGGCTTTCTCTAATACCATTTGCATATCGCGGTCGCGAGGGGGCGATTGCTCCGCCTCAGGTAGAGCTGTATTTTCGGGAAACAGCGAGGATTGACAGTGAGCGAGGGCGAATAAGTCCAACGTGCCAATCAGAAGTCGCACATGCCGGGCAATCGACGATAGTGGCAGGAGGCGGGTCCATAGAAGGCTTGGGTTCCCGCAAATTTAGATCAGCCACTATCAAAGTGAGAAGCTTCGAAAAAGTTTGAACATTGCGTGTTTAGCGTTTCGGGTGGGAGAATGGTTTTTGATATGTGTATGGAGTACTCCGTAGTATTAGAGGGATTCAGCGACTGTATATTGTATAATAATAGCTATAGGGTTGGATATTGTCTCATATAGATGCAATAATATCCAATGAGAAGTAAAGCTACAGCATAAGACTGATGATCAACAGGAGTCTCGAGCTTGGTTGCGTCGATGACGACAGCAGCCGATAGATAGGATGGGGCCGTTAAAATAAATCGGCTAGTGAACTTCTGATTGATCCGTCAAATTATAGGATTGGACCTTCGTTACAAGCTAGTATTTATGCATTATTATTAGATCCTTCTAGTATTAACGCTGTCACAACATATGCTCTCGATGGGCATAAATTTGCATGGGATTTTTGTCCATGTCCAAGATACCGAGGATATGTGAATGAGTACTTTTGATAGGGCCAAACGAAACTACAGGACAGTCTGTAAGTTTGCACTTCGTACGGAGTACTCCGTATGGGTAGTACATAATCTACCGTGGCAAATATCATTCATACAATGCCGAGGCCTGATCCCCGAGTTGTACAGGGTACCTTGCCGAGTGCATGGCCTAAATTTGCAGACGAAGACACCTATATGATTACTATGTAAACAATGAATATGTAGATGTGAACTCCAATAATATCCCATGGAAACATGGATTGAATCGATGAATCATAAACAAAATATCCAAACCCAAATTCTATAACCAGGGGTGAGGGGAATAAAGGTGACACGAGAGCCCTCAAAAGCAGGAATTGGTCTGGAATATTTAAGAAATTGGGTTTTTATTTACTTTTCTCTATTTTTCTTTTTCGGTGACCAGGGGTAATTTTCAGTTTCCCGGTCATTTCGGTAATTTTTGTAACAGTGTAGGCTAATCAGACAGATCGAAACCGGTGTTAAAATACCTGCGACTGCCCTGGCACGGTCCTGACATGCCGGATGCGGTACTGTGTGTGTTTTGGCTTCCCCCCTTGGCATCGATAGGCATATACATAAGTGCAAAAAGTGGCACCTGGTAAGATTAGAATACAAACAATCTCCACCTCCCCTTTCCTCGCCCCAAGGCTCCTTCTTCTTCATTTCGCTCTCCTCCAACCTTCGTCCATTCGTTCTTACCCTATTTGAGAGTTCCTGCCTTATACCTTTTGGCAGTATTTCCGCTTCCCTCTCGTTTGAAGCGCTTCTTCTCTAATCACTCATTGCGAATTTTCCTGCTCTACCATTCCCATATCTCTAATCGGTACGTGCAGTATTTCACCACCCCTGATCGAAAAGTCCCATCAAAATTCATCACTGACATCTCATGATTTAGAATCTACCATGTCTCTCAAGTACATCCTCCCTGCGCTGGCCGCCAGCCAGGCTGTTTTTGCTGCCTGTGAGTATTCTGTTCCTGACATTATCCATACACCCACTAACAGTGCCGTCCTACAGCCGACTGCGGTGATACCAAGATC